CTCCTTCTCCCTCCCCCTTCCTCTCTCTCTAAAATCAATCAATAAAAATTAAATAAATTTTTAAATGGAGGGCTAGGAAGACTAGTTAGCTAACTGCTATTGGCCATTTTTATAATCCAAAGTAATTTAAGCTATTGATATGCATCTGATTTACTTATTTATTTATTTGTTTGTTTATTTATTTTAATCCTTACTCGAGTATATACTTACTGACTTGGAGGAAGGGGAAGTGGGGGGAGAGAAACAAACATTGATGTGAAAGAGAACATCGATTGGTTTCCTTCTGTACATGCTCCAACCAGGGATCAAACCCGCAGCCTAGGTATGTGCCCTGACTCGGAATTGAACCCCCAGCTTTTCAGTATATGAATGACACTCCAGTCATCCAACCAAGCTACACAGACCAGGGCTGACTTTTTAATTTATTTTTTATAAAATATAACATAAAATTTATCCTTTTAATTATTTTAAACTGTACAATTCAGTGGCATTTAAATACATTCACATTATTGTGCAGCTATTACCACCATTCTATTTCTAGAACTTATTCATTATCCCAAACATCAGTACCATTAATCAGTAACTCCCCATTCCCCTTCCCCCAGCCCCTAGTAACCTCTATTTCACTTTCTGTCTCTGTGTATTTGCTTATTCTAGGCACCTCATGTAAATGGAATTATACAATATTTGTCCCTTTTTGTCTGATTGAATTTTGCAGATATTTGCAACTTAAAGAGTGTTATGTTTAGCAGGAATGAACTGCTAATGTTTTTACATGCTTGCATTTGGCGATCATGGTACAGTACATATTATTTTACTTATATTTTACAAATTTTTTATTGTTCAATGTTGGTCTTATGTAATTGAAGATAATTCAAAGTAAGATGATTCATATGGTTTTGAGTATTTAGACATCAAATTTGGAGTACAGTACTGCTTTTAAACACAAATGTTTTATATAAAATCATTTTATGGCTGTAAAAACTTGGAGTATATTCTATTTGCATAAGAGGAAATTAATTTGTATATCTCATTATATATGTTTTTTTATAAATCTAGCTTTTTGTATCATACTTACATATTTTTTCTGACTACTGCTTCTGCTTTCCTGATGATGATACTGAATTTGGTTTATAGTTGGACATTTTCTTTTAGATGGTGTGTAATCCAAAATACTGTTTTCTCTCTATGTGTTAAATAGTATTTTTAAAAGTTAGCTGATGCAGAAGTACCTGTTTTATTCTTCCTGTTTTTAATTTATTTTGTATTTCTAGGTATTTCTGTGTTGTCTCCTGGATTGGGGAGTCCTGCTTCTTCTATCCAACCACTTTCCCTAACCTTGAAATGTGGATCTCCCTCCTCTACACTTTACCTCCATGATTTGGATTGGAAAAGGCTGCTTTTCCTTTTTTTCCCACCTTTCAAATTCAACACAGAGAAGCTCCTAGGATAATCATCCTGCCAACTTCTCCAGGAAAAAAGAAGCAACTGACATGTTTCTTACCAATTGCTTACCTGTAAAGAGATTATTTTGCAAGCTGAAGGGTGATGTTTAATTTAAAACTGGTGCTTAGATGATGGTATTTGTGAATTCTTTACCTTTTGTTCCCAATAAGAAGACTATAAAAATAGCAAGTATGGGTGTGACATCAGGGGTTTTTTTTAATGTCTTCCAGTTTTAACCACTATCATAAGTACAGTCAAGACTACAGCAGTAAATTCCAGATATGTGTTGTACTTTGAAATGAAAGAGATGCTAATATATATATAATCCTGTGACATAGATTAACTGGACAAGAACAAAGGTCCAGTTTTGCAGTGAAACCTTTGATGTGATAAAGAAGCATAAAAACAATATTGCAAGGTTAATTTCATATATGAATAAGACATCACAGTCTCTGTATAAATACATATTTTAATGTGTAAATCCACATTTTGGGAAGAGATTTTTCTCCAGATAAGGAAGCTTTTCTTTCTCAGAAGTCTTTTTGGACATTCGATATTTTAAAATGTGGGGTTTTCTTCTTCTAAAGAAGGACCATATTGTGCTAACCCAATGAATGCATGCTTGGGTTTAGTGAGAGGTTGGTAAAAGGAAACAAAAGTTTTGAATCCAGCGATGGAGCCCTATTTACCTCCCTAGGATGAGAGGCTGCTAAATTCATTCTTTTTTGTGGAGTCTTATATAGCACTTGGGACTTTTTCCATGCTCCTAAAGCTGGAAGAAAAGTGGCATAAGTGGTTTCTCTATTCAGAAGATTTGATGGACCCTACAGTACGATCTGTCTTCAGCTTTGGACATGGAGGAACGGGGAGGGAAATGAGAAAACTTTCCATGTAACTCTTCTAAGAAAATGAAGCAAAAAATGCCTTATACTTCCACCTGACTTTATGGCATTTTACATTCTATAGCTCTTTTGTAAAAGTATAAATAACTTTTTCTTTTGACCCAAGATCAGTACTTGGATGTTTGATTGCTTTTTCTAGATGATAGCTGTAGTGTTAGGCTGAAAAGGCTGGGACTCAGGTAACTTTCCCCATTCTCATGAGAGAATGGGCCTCAGAAGCAATGTTACTAAACATGGTTGGATCAGTGAAGTTTAGAAGAAATTCAGGTCTGAAACCTCAAACAAGAAAAATAGTTCCATTAAGAAATATGGATCTTCCTTTCCCTTAAAACTTACACTATATGATAAATAGACTATAGTGTAAAGCTGTTCTTGCTTCAAAATCAACAGAGGACTAGTGTATGAATTGTCAGGTCTTTACATGAGAAGGATGAAACCATTATGGGTCTTTGTGATTAGAAAAGAATTTAAAACCTCTTAGATGAAATTAAGAACAAATCATCCTAGGTCATTTGTGATTTAGGGAATGTGTGCCCATGGCCATACATGTTATAATGCTGAAAACTTAGGGTAGATATACCAAAATTTTTTTTAAAAAAACACCACATCTATCTTTATTGATTTCAGAGAGAGGAAGGGAGAGGGAGAGAGGTAGAAGCATCAATGATGAGAGTCATTGATCGGCTGCCTCCTGCACGTCCCCTCGTGGGGATCGAGCCCACAACCTGGACATGTGCCCTGACGGGATTGAACTGCCATCTCCTGGATCATAGGTCGATGCTCAACCGCTGAGCCACGCCGGCAGGGCAGATTTACCAAAATTTGAGAGTGGTAGGACGCCCAGAATGGAAATGTTGTACACTCTTAATGATTATTTTAATTGGTCAGCTAATCTGAATTGGCATAAGAAAGCTTTTTAGTAAAAATAATTATATAGATAAAATGTAATTTTCCTTAGTTGAGGGCAATTACTAGGTGGTAAAGCATAGAAGTAACTTTGGGTAAAGGTAACTTAAATTTTTCTCTAACTTCCCAGCCACTTCCTGATATTTAGTATTTTGTAATTATTAAAGACAGAATGGAATTTACATATATGGGTGCCATTGGTATATTGAGAATATCAAATGGAGAATTTTTGTATCTCCAGTTGTCTTATCCATCTTACTGGTGTCCTTTTGGCAACTTTTTGGGTAGGATCATTTGGCAGGAAATAGGGACCCTATACTATCAGCACCAGTGAAACCATCTCTGGCCCACTCGTTTGAATATGTATCAGACTGAGCTCCCCAGTTGCTTTATATATTTTTTCATTTCACAGCTAAGAGAACCACCTTTAAAGTTGTTTTTGAATCTTGTCAGCAGATGGCGTTTAACAAAATGTGTATATTCCAGTTGTATTTGCTCAGTGTTTACTTAATACATCTACACTGTTTTTTTCCCTGGTCATCTTTTGGTCCCTTTCTTGATGGCAAAAGTTGTAATTTTTGGCAGGACTATGCTTCAATCTATAGCTGTGCCTGCTTCCTTTCCTTTGTTTCATCCATGTTAGCTGGCAGATTTTGGTTTTTGTTTAAGTTAAAAACGGGATACGTGCAATAGAAATATATATATGTATATTTTAATACTTGTGGACAAATGTTACAAGTTGTTTCAGAACAACAAAATCACCAATGTCTTCCATTTTGAGATGTGTATAGTTTTGTAAGCATTAGTGCTTGGTAGCATATTTGTAGTACCATGTTAGGAGTTAGTGCATGAGCCTAGTAATAATTTCAATTTCAGGATGAATTATAATAACCAATAGTGTAAAAAGTGGAAAACTTAGAACTTTCATAAATTTCTGTATCTATGATATTCTCCCTGGGGAGAGGAGATTAGGCCAAAAAAGACTCATTTATGAATAGTAATGTGGGGTCACAATGTGAAATACTGTGTTTGAGGATATTTAAGCTTCTTGTGAGGTAGCTGGAAACCAGCTGCCTTTGTCTTACGAAACCTCAAATCAAAATGTGGCCCCATTTCAAGATTCTGCTTTGCTCAGTTTTAGGTGAGATTGTTCTTATGCTGTTTTCACATTTTATGTCTTTTAGGTTTATTACTTTCCTGCTCCTTTTGCATCAGGAAATTATTTTGCATGTCTTACTGAGATGCTATGTTAATTGCTTAAGTGAGTGCTTTTCTAATTTGCAAACCATTTACACTTCCTGTCTGCAGCATGCCATGTGTCAGTACTTCAGAGTGTCCCGGATTAATTTGTTATGGGCTTTTCCTATTTCCAAATTTGCTGAATTTTGTATTGTGATTCCAGACCTTTTCATGGAATTGGAAATGTAGCCAATAGAGCCTACGTAGGTTGCCATGTAATAACTAACTTTTGCTTGGTTATAGTAAGCTGCCTCAGATAGCTTTGACTTTTCTACCTTCCTTGTAGACATAAAAGTTACTTTGTTCTGAAAGCATAAGATAGCTTCCTGTAGGAAAGAAATTCCTACCTCTAAAAACTGCCTTGAGAACTTGGAAATGGCAGTGTTCTGAGGTAATTTTTAAATCATAGTGTTGGGAGGGTCCAGGATTTATTGACAGGTTCTACAATTAGCATGATAGGAAATGCAAAACTATTTTAATGTGGTTTCTCATGTGTAGAAGCAAGCTTAGACAAATAGACTCTTTTGCAGCAGCTCTCCAGGGACCCAGGTTTAGATTCTCATAGTGTACTTTAAGTAGTTGTACTCTTGGCTCAAGTAGTTTAGTGCCTGTAAGAATCCATTTCTGAAAAGCATTTAAACTTTTTTTTTTAATACCTCTGAAAAGGTAATGAATGCAAAATAGCACAGTATATAGGAAAGGATATTTCCTATTGCAAAAAAAAAGCCATAAAATGAACTAATAATTTTCAAGAGGTAGAATTTTAGTAGCAATAACAGTTCTGGCATGTATATAGTAAGTTGCATTAGCAAGGTTGTACAGTCGACTAAGTATTACTAGAGTTTGAAAGGCTCTGTGGTCAAGCAGAGTTGTACAAAAGGAAAAAGATGTTCTAGATAAAGAGCATATAAAAGGTACTTTTTAAAACTATGAATGTATATGACTATCAGAAATAGCTACTTTTGTATAAGTTAAAGGCTAAAGACTTACTTGTTTCCTAGAGCAGAGGGTTAGAACCATTGAATGAAATACTTCTAGTGCTTAACCTGGAAACAAATGTACTCTTACTGATGAAGTCCCACTGAAGCCATCACGTGGGGATTTTGCTTACGATGTTTTTTTAGCATCAGGCTAATAGCATACCTTTTGCCTTGTCACCTTATCTTTCTCCATTAGTTTCCTGGGTGCGTTTTTAAAAAGGAAAAGTTTGTTGTGTATATGTATTTAGAGTTAAAAAGAACAAGAACTTGGATCGCTGGCTTTTCCTCAGGCCTATGGTTAGTTTAGGAGAGTTAAGATTTAAAGGTGTAAAACAAAAGGATTGAAGGGAATAGCCAAAGACAGTATGTTGGTTTTTTAAACCTTGTCTGATATAGATGTGCTAGGCCTGTAGCCTGTGACTACTTATTTTAACAAGAACCCAGCAAACTAGTTTCTTGATCTGAGGAATCATACAGCTCACATCAGGATATGAGTTGAATCAAAGTGACTTCTTACTCCCTTTACCTCATGTCATCTTGGCCATTTAGCACCTGAAGATCCCTGAAAAGACGTCTTCTATGTTCCCTTGTTTTCCCAGGGGGAAAATACCTAAAAGATAAGTGGAGATGATCTACAAAAATAGTGCCTCTTGAATATTTAATTCTTACATGGCAACTCCAAAGGATAGGGAGGCTATATTAAATTGATTATAGCTCCTCTTTAAATGTCCCAGACTCTCAGTTGGTGTTAGGGACATTGGAATAACCAAGCAATATTCAGACATCGGCATGATCATGTACTGCTGTGATGGGAACAGTTTAGTTACTTAGAACAATTAAAGATTACCCTTAATAGCCACATTAATTGTTCCAAATGCTAAAATGTGCTACAAGTTTTTGTGGTTTCAAAGGATGTGGCTAATTACTTTTCAGTGTTGTGATCTCATGTTTACTCTTTGTGTACTTGTGATATGCAAAATATGAAGAGACCCTTGGCCTCCAGGAGTTTACATTATCATGGTGCTGCTGGTGCAAGCAAATTACTTTGTTTATTCAGAACATTGCTTGGCTATTAATCATACCATATTTGGAAGGATCCCTTGACCAACAGTTTTCAAAAGCAGAGGGCTATGCTAAATTTCAGGGCATTGATTTTGAGTTTACTTTGTATTAGCTCTGCTGTTCATAAACTTTTCTCCTGGGAGCTGTGCAGATCATGCTCTTAATGTGAATCAGAAAAGAAACCATTCTAAGAGCATCTTCACCATCCCT